GCTCAGCCCTGCCAGAGACCCACTTCTGTGAGCGTGGACATGACCTAGGAAGCCATCAGAGGTTAAGCTGTGTCACTCACCTGCTCAGTGAGTCAGAGGAGGGGGTAAATCCTGCAGCTTGTGCTGCCTGGAGGAGGTGGCTCTGGCTGCCTGGTGTGTGTCCCTGCCAGGGCACCTCTGTGGCCTGGCACTGACCTCTTACTGCAGCACAGCTCTGCTGTTCCACAAACACCAGAGCATCACAGGGAACTTTCACACAGATACTTGTTTTACAGCTCTTGGCTTCCTGAGGCACATCCCACCCTGCCTGTCCCCAGGCCAGCAGCAGGTCTTGTTCCAGGGTTCTCTCGCCCGTCCCACTGCCTGGTGCTGTCATGGGCTGGGCAATGCTGGGCAGGATGCTCAGCCCCCCACCTGCTCCAGCTCCAACAGCTCTCGTCCTTCTCCCTGCTCTGTCCCACCACCTGTGGGACACACTGTGGCGGATCACTCTGCTTTTGTCCCCCTGGTCCCTGGGGTTTGCTCAGCTCACAGCCGGTGCCAGCCTCCTGTGTTCTGCTCACAGCGAGGGCAGCCGGGGTCACTGTGGGCGGTATTTGACACATACACACACACACACAGATCCCATAGGAAAAGGGGGACAGGCAATCTTAATGCTGTCTGTGACCAACAGATATTTCTGCTGGCTAACAGTGCTGGAGGAGCTTGGCTGGAATAAAGGGTGTGAGAGCCGGCAGAGGCTGCCCCGAACACACGGAGCGGTGGGAAGCCCGGCAACAGGATCAGGAGGAGGAGGAGGAGGAGGAGGATGTCGGCGCTCAGCGCGTTGCCCTTCCTGAAGCCGGTCCACCTGCGGTCGCCCCGCAGCTCGCCCGGGGGCCAGCGCCGGCACACGCTGCCCGCCAGCGAGTTCCGCTGCCTCAGCCCCGAGGACGCCGTCAGCGTGTTCGAGATCGAGCGCGAAGGTACGGGGGACCGGGGAGATCCTCTGGAGGCAGTAGCTGGATCCCTTTGCATCTGTTTCCAGTTCTGTTTCCAGTCTCTTGTGCTCCCTATAGTGGCGAATTCCCCTATGTGTGCCCTCGTGGGTGGGAGGCAGTGGCCGTGATTTGTGGCCAGGCCACCATGGGCTCCTTAGCGAGGTGGAGGAAGTGTGGTTAATGAGCTGGAGAAGAATCACGGCCTCAGCTCACCCTGGGGTGGGGATGGTGGGAGGTGTAGGACCAGCTCTCCCAAAATCTCTGAAAGACACGGTAGGAAAAGGGGAAGTGGGAGGAAGGACACCACGCTCTGCCTCCTACTGAAAAGGGGCACTTTGAGGTGCCATCCTGGCAACTTTTCCCATTTCCTTCACCATAGCTTCCTTCACCCAGACTCACCCAGCCTATTTCTCCATCTTCTGAAAGGACAGGGGCATCCAGGGAGATGCTGAGACAGAGGGTTCAGTCCAGCACCTGCTGCTGTAGCTCTGGAATCAGCAGAGTTAGGAGCTGGCCACTGGGCCATGGGGAGTAACTGAGTAACTGCCTTTGGAGAGGCAGAACTGCTCCCTGGAACCATCTGTGTCCCTCAGAACTCCTTTAGACCTAGTAGGCAGCAGGATACATGCCAGAACTCCCCATCACATCTCACTTTCCTTCCCTACATCAGTGCTGAGAGTTTTTCCGGGTTGGGTGTGTTTTGTGTCTCTCACTGTGATCACCACTGCCCCCCTCCAGCTTTTATATCGGTTTCTGGGGACTGTCCCCTGCACCTGGATGAGATCCGCCACTTCCTGAACCTGTGCCCGGAGCTGTCCCTCGGCTGGTTTGAGGAAGGGCGGCTCGTGGCATTCATCATCGGCTCCCTCTGGGACCAGGAGAGGCTCAGCCAGGTATGACCCAGTCCTTCCCACCTCGTGCACTGGGAGAGGCACTGCCAGAGCCTGGGGACCAGGAGAAGCTCCCTGAGGCTACTCTCAAAATCTTCTCCCAGGACTAACTGCTACGGGGCTGCTCTAGAAATGAACCTTCTCGTTAATTAATTTAAACGATGCTGCTAAAAAATATGCCAAGTAATTCCCCTCAACATTCATTTTAAACTTAAAAGCCCCCCGAGCATGATGGGGGGGAGGCGAACAGGATGGGGAAGACGTGATTGATTTTTTGGGGTGCAATGACACAGGGTGGGACCCGCTGGTGCTGCTAACCTCTGTCCCCCCTCGCAGGCAGCACTGACCCTGCACAAGGCGCAGGGCTCGGCCGTGCACATCCACGTGCTGGCCGTGCACCGCACCGTGCGCCAGCAGGGCAAGGGCTCCATCCTGATGTGGCGCTACCTGCAGTACCTGCGCTGCCTGCCCTTCGCCCGCCGCGCCCTGCTCATGTGCGAGCCTTTCCTCGTGCCCTTCTACCAGAAGTGTGGCTTCGAGGCGCTGGGGCCCTGCGAGGTGACGGTGGGGGACCTGGCCTTCGTGGAGATGCAGCACCCCGTGCGGGGCCACGCCTTCATGCGCAGGAACAGCGGCTGCTGAGAGCCCTCTGCTCTGGCCTGCCTGGGGGGATGAGAGGCTGCAAGGCCTCTGCATCCCCACCAGTGATCCATCTTCCCTGGCTGGCCCTGGCCACAGCTGCTCCGTCTGTCACATCTGCCTTCCAGCCACATCAGCCTGGCCCCATCCCATCCCTGCAGGGCTGGGCACTGCTGGAAGCATCAAATCCCTGGGCTCTGCTTTAGCCAGGGCTGTGCTGGCAGGTCTGGGTGGGCTGCAGGGCCATGAGCGCCCTGGGATGGAAAGGCTCTGCCCTGGGAATGGCTGGGGGCTCTGCTGGTTTGAGGGCACTGCAGTTTGCTGAGACACCCAGCAGAGGCCCTGCAAACACCTGCCCCAGCCTAGCACCCCTCCCACCATCACCACCACCACGAGTGGAGCACACCATGGCCAAGCCCTCCCTGAGCAGCCCCCAGAGCAGGCAGGGGCCCTGGCAGCCACCCCCTGCCCACAGCCATCCTTCCAGACCCCTTGGAGCACATTCCCAGCCCACAGCCACCCTCATCTGCACATTACAAAGCCTTCCCAGGGAACCAGTTCAAACCATTTGGTCCTGCCTGTCCCAGACCCACAAACAGCCCAGGACAAGCCTTCTGCAAACAACTCAGGTAGTTGGAAAGCAGCAAATAAAGATGTGGTGGTGATTTTCTACACAGCCCATGTGTGTTCCTGCCCTGCTCTGATCATGACCTCGCCACAATGGCCAGAGGGAGGGCACCAGCTGGTATGAGGGGAGCAATCCAGGACCCCTTGGGACACCTCAGCCTCAAGGGAGAAGGGGCAAATCCAGCCTCAGGTCATTCTGAGAAGGGTGGGGATAAAGGTAGGGGTGACTCTGCCCTCAGGCAGGATCAGGAGGTTCCATGGATCCAAGTGTTTGGCTTCTCCTTCTGCTTGAGACCCTCCAAACCCTGTCTCCTCCCAGGAAGGGTTTTGAGTGGCCCATCAGGACACCAGCCCCAGCTTGCCCTCCCTCCCTGCCATGCCAGGCATCACCAAAAACAACCAGAACCCTTCAGAAATGCTGCATCCCCAGGCCCAAGAAGGGAGAAGAAGCCTCATGCATCTCATTAAATACAGGTAGAAATTTATTAAGGGGGGGAAACCCACAGCTTTTAAAAAAAGTATCAAAAAGAGACAAATGAGGTGAAGTGTCTGTCTTTGGCTGGAGCAGCAACTGGAGGGACAGAGTGGGGCTGAAAACTGGCCCAGGGTGGAGGGAGGGATGCAGGGACGGATGCAGATGCTCCTGGGCTCATTTAGCAAGTGGTTGTGGAGAGGGAGCCAGGCTCTCAGCCCTTGAATATTTATCCCAAAACATCCTAACTGGGGGATTCCCACCTACCCCCATTTAAAAGCACTGAGGCCTCCAGCACCAAAGCAACACATCTCAAGGGAGAGACAGCCTGGCACCAGCCTGGGTCCAAACCAGCCCAGGGGGATCACCTGGACCCCAGGAAGGACCTGCCTTCGTGCCATGGCTGCTGGGAAGGAGGAGGAGATGCTGGGGAGAGCAGCCCAGGGCTGGGGGCAGGTGGGAATGTACAGCCTGGGGCAGGGAAGAGGGAAGGTGACTGCCCCATCCTGCACTTCTCCATCTGACCAGCACCACTGGAGGAAGGGAGGGCTACCCGGGTCTCCACACTTTGAAGAAGGGAAAGGGGAAACAGCAGGGACTCAAGGCAGAGGGTGGGAGGACTGACAGCTTCCTGAGAGGTCTGTGGGCTCCAGAAGCAGCCACACGAGCCCCCCAGGGGCTTTTCTCCATGGCTGCCTCCCACCATGGCACTACAAACACGGTCCTTGCCACTCCTCCCCTTCCAAAAAGAGAATGTCACTGAAATAAGGGAAAGAAAAGCCCCCTGTCTCAAGTCCTGCCTCTCCATCCAGTGAGGAGCCAGGCTGGAAGGCATAAACCTCCTTGGGGGCCTCAGGGGGAACAGGACTGAAAAACGTCTTTGAAGCTCAGCTCTGAACATCTTGGAGCCACGACAGAGACTCCAGGGAGCCCAAAATGGGGAAACCCTGAGCCTAAAGAGCTGTGGATAAAAAGAAGTGCCCCTGCAAAAAGGGGGTTGTGTTCACAGTATGAGCTGCAGTGCTGCAGGGCACTGAGGTGGGACAGGGCCCCAGGCAGGCAGGGGCACAGGCTGGAGACTTCAGAAACTTCACCCCAGGACTGGGAGCCCAGCCTGGCCATGGATACACCAATATTCCACTTCCCTCAGCCCTTTCCCCACACATGCAGCAACCAGAGTCAGTCCTCAAACCAGTTATGGCTTTCCAGCATCAGGAGGGAGCCCCAAAGGGGTTCAAGGCAGGGCTGGCTCAGCCCTGCATCCCCAGCATTGAGCAAGGGGTACCCCAAACCGTCCCTGAGGATGGAGCCATGCCCCATCCTGGAGCAGCCACCACCATCTCCTACAGGCTGGGGATGACCCACCCCATAGAAAACATCACCTGTTCCCAGCCCCATCCCTGCCGGCAGGGTCAGTGCAGGACCTGCTCCAGCCCATACTTCTCGCAGAACTTGCTGGTGAAGGGCAGGCAGGTGAGGTACTCCACCCAGCGCCAGTTCACGGGGTACACGTACAGCCACACCACCAGCGAGGCAAAGAGCCCCACGAAGACCAGCAGGGACACGATGATCATGGCCCGCTTGCGGTACTTGTCCACCGTGCCGAAGGTGATGTAGGGCAGGAAGGCGAAGGACAGCAGCAGGCCGCTCAGGAACCCGAAGAGGTGAGCGATGTTGTCGATCCAGGGCAAGAGGCCACAGATGAAGAGGAACAGGACGATGCCAAAGAGGTTGAGGAAGGCTTTCCAGGGTTTCTCCAGCACTTGCCAGCTTTGGAAGAGCTCCACGAAGAGGCAGGCCAGCAAGCCGAACTGGGACCCGGCAGGGCCCACCTGTAGGGATGGGAGAAGTCAGGGCTGGTCACTGTGTCACCTCAGACAAACCTCATGTGCCCCAGGAATCACCTCCTCCCCTAGCAAAATGCATTTGGCTCCTGCATCCCTGTGCAGGATCCTGCACGGGGCTCAAGGGTACGAACCCTGGCACAGGAGGATGAGGAGGGGAGCAGGGTGCTGCTGTTTTGGCAGAGCTGATACTTTGTGTGACTCAGCAGCCAGACAGCATCACCCCCTCCCAGACCACAGCCCCATCCTGGCACACCCGTGGGGGAATTAGGGCCCTTGGCATGATCTCATTTAAAGGCTGACAGGGTTTGGCTGGCAGCAGATTAGCCATCTGCCTGCCCAGGGACCCTGCACGCTGACAGACACGTGGTGACAGGTGACACACATGGCATGTGCCAACGCCACACGTGGGGCAGGGACACCCCCTCCCCCTCTCCCTGCAGCAAACCCTGCCAGGAGGTGAAAATCCGTGCTCCAGCCCCTTCCCCAACCCTCTGCCCAGGATGAGGATGGAGAGGGGTGTCCTTTGGTCCCTGGGAGCTGACAGGATTTGGGACAGAGCTCCCAAACCCTCACCTCTGCCCTGTATGGCAGGAAGATGGCACTGGCCAGGTTGCCCGTGATGCCACTGAGGATGAAGATGATGGAGATGCGATGCCAGCCTGCCAGCTTCTCCAGGTCCCGCAGCACCGTCATCTGGAACGTCACCGACACCAGGCAGTGGATGATGCTGGGGGAGAGGCGCTGTGTTAGAGACCCCTGCCCAGCCCCGGGGCATGAGACAGCTCACAAAACCCCCACTGAAGGCACCTGTCATCATAGTTTGGGAGTGCCCTTCCCTCTTCTCTCCCACCCCACCCCGATGGGCACTCCAGTCCCCAGCTCCCCCATCCCTGGGGACATGGGGGCTGCAGCTCACCCAGCATGCAGGAACAGGGACAGCCACAGGCGGTAGAACTGGTCAGGGATCTCCGGGTTCAGGAAGGGCAGGAGCCCACAGACCTCGTCCAGGCAGTGCACCTGCAAAGGCAGCAGGGTTGTCCCCAGAGTCACAGGAAGCAAAGGATGGGTCACAGAGATGGGTTGCCAATGATGCCATGTTACAGCTGTGAGGGGATTCTGGACGGTGTGGGGCACCCACATTGCTGTGGGTGCTGGAAAAGCTGCCTCCTGCCCCACAGCAGCAAAGTGGGCACAGCAGCAGGAGCCCAGACAATAGCCAGGCAAGTCCCTGCACTTTGAATCCTCCCTGCTCACACCCATCCCAACCGTGCCCCATTCCTGGTAGGACACTCTAAAGCCCCCTGGGATCAGCATGGCTGCCAGCATTGTATCCCACATGCCCTGCCATACCACCCTGGCCCTGCTCACCTGTGAGCAGAGCGTTGCCTCCTCGTGGAAGTAGCCGTGCATGAAGTCGCAGTACTCCCGTGTGGTGATCTCGCAGCTGGCAGGGGGCAGGAGGGGGCTCGCTGGGGGCAGGGCACACTCAGGATGCTCCTGAGCATCCCCCTCTGCTCCCAGCCTGCTGCCACTGTGCTTCCCACCCCTCAAGGCTCTGTAACCTCCCTCTTTCCCCAGGCACATCTCTGGACACTGATGGGACAACACAAGGCAGGAGAGCAGAGGGTGGAGCCAAGCCAGGTGTCCCCTTTGCCATGACCCACCTGCCCTTGGTGCCGATGCAGCAGGGCCTGCCCTTGATCTCGCAGTCCAGGTGGGCAAAGCCCGTGTGGTTGGTTTTGGTCTCGTAGGTGCAGATCTAGAAGCAGGAGGGAAAGGAGTGTGGCCGCAGGCTGTCCCTGCAGCCCCGTCCTGGGCTCATTGCCACTGCCACCATGGAGTCACCAGCCGATGGTGGCACCAGGCTCTTACCGGCCACTTGGTGATGTCGTCTGGCCACACATGGGGTGGGTTGGATGCTGGCTCCTCACATGTCCTGGCAGGAGGAGGGAGGCGAGTCAGGTGGGTCCCCCCAACACATCCCCCCTGCAGACCAGGAACCCCCTCAGGCACAGACAGCTCTGGGATCTGCCTTGATCCTGTGTCCCACAGCAGCTCCTTCTGCAGGTGAACTCTGCAGCACTCAGAGCTGTTGGACAACCCCACCGATGCCCATGGACATTCCCATCCCAGCAGGACAGGGCCAAGCACAACACAACAGCATCACCTGCTGCTGCCTGTGCTTAGGACAGGCCCTGCCTCAGTTTCCCCACTGACTCCCTCTTTATCACTCTCCTACAGTGTACAGAAGCCTCCCCATCCCCTCAGACAAGAGGATTCAAGGCATCCAAGCTGGAAATGCAGCCCCTTCTGCTGTGCCCCACACACAGCCAGGTGACCAGGCCACCTCCAGCCAGCTGCTACTTCTACCTGGGGTCCTGGTGACACACAGCCCCTGAGGTCCGCTTCTCTCCTGAGCCCATGGCTGGTGCGTTGCTGCCTGGCCACTTGATGAATGTTGCCAGTGTCTCCTGCAAGGAGCATGGAGAGACGGAGGATGCAGCAGGGAATGCACGGCTCTGACCCCACATGCATCCTGCCCTGGTGCAGTGCAGGGCTGAGATGGTTTCCCCAGGGATCCCCAGCCCTTCCTGCTGCCCAGGGCAGGGCACACACCGAGCAGTCCTGTGGCAGGGTCTGGATGCAGCCTGAGTTGTCGTTCTGGACGCAGCAGCCGGAGCCGCGCTCCCGGTCCCGCTCGCGCTGGATGAGCCTCTCCACCTGCCGGTCCTTCCGGATGCAGGGGGAGAACTTGGCTCCCAGGTGGATCAGGTCGATCTGGGAGGGAGATGCCAGTAAAGGAGATGCTTTATCTGTGCACCTCCCTTTGCTCCAGCCATCCCCAGGGAGAGTTTATCAGGGGCAGGGGTGTCCACAGGCAAGAGGCAAAGGTCTCTGTCATCCCAGTGAAGAGAAGGCAGGACCATCCCACTGGGATGCCAAATGTCCCAGTGGGATTGGGGCCAAGGACAGCAGGCTGGAGTGAGGAGGTCAAGCTCTGCCCCTCTGAGAACCCCTCAGCTTAGAGCAGGGGAAGCAGAAGGCAGAGCATGGGACCAGAGGCCAAGGGTCTGGCAGGGTCCTTACCGAGCTGGGCCCGATCCAGAAGTTTTCCTGCTGGATGTACTTGACACTCTCATAGACACCCTTGTTCCTCAGCACCTGCCAAGAGAGGCCAGGGTCAGCTCCCACTGAAGGGGTGAGGGCTGAGGGAGTGCACCCTTGTCTCCCTCCACTCAAAAGGGGCTCAGCAGCCCCTTCATCCCAGGGGAAGGGCCACTGGGTCCCACCAGCAAGGGAAGAGGGAACAGCTCTGCTCCCACCACGTATTCTGCTGCAACACGGTGCTGCTCGTCCCCTTGCCCTGGCTATTTCACAGAGCCTCTCAAATGATGGAGCCCCACAACATGCTCCCAGTCCTCACAAGGAGCATGACACCACGGGACACTGGTGGTTACAGTCCCCCCCAAAGATGGCTCTTAAACTTACTAACTCTGTCGTCACATGCTGGGTGAAGCCGATGGGGGCAATGCCGTAGGTGCCAATGACCAGCAGGGTGATGAGAATGTGGACAAAGGTGATCCAGTATGTGAAATATGGCCTGGAGGGGACAGGATCCAAAACTGGAGCTGGTCAAAGACGGCTAGGCAAAGAGACACTGCAGTCCCCCAAACCCTGATCCCCAAGCATTGAAGGGGACACATATCTGAGTGAGGTGTCCCCTGCTTACCGGTGGCTGTCGGTGATCTCCAGCTGGGACTGCACGATGCTGCTCAGGCTGCGCCGGTACGTCCTGTTCAGCCACTTGCCCACCACCCCCAGCCCGTAGTAGCGTTTCTTGCGGTCGAAGGCGAAGTGTTTCACTTTGGAGGCGATGCGCCGGCCCCGCCGCGGAGCCGGGCCTGCACTGCCCGGCACTGAACCCAGCCGGACACCCTCCCGCCTGTGGAGAGAGGAGAAACCCATCACACCTGCCAAAAAGGTGAGAAACACCTCATGGTCAGAGCCCTGAGATGAGGCTCTGAGCACCTCCTGGTTCCATTCTCTAAGGATCATCATCTAAGTGCCTGGTGCCCACGCAGGGAAGGCTGGGGACATTGTCCTGACTGCAGCCTCAGGGACAACACCTGCTGAGGGCTGGTACTCACGGGGTGGGCTGCTCCACCTCGGGGGACACCTTGGCATCCTCCCCCACCTGGTGCATGCGTAAGTATGTGGCTGATAGAGGAGGAGACTCAAAGACGTCATCAGGCATGGAGTATGTCTCATCGTGCATGTCCATCTGGAAAGGGGATGGATATGTGTCCTTTGATATGTGGGATGGCTCAGAAGTCCCCTGACTGAGCATCCCCCTGGCCAGGGGGAGTGGGTGATCCCCAATGATATCCCACTAATAGCCCATCAGAAGGTGTGAAATGTGACCAGATAGCAACATCATTCCCTGTCACACCCAAGGACCATCACCAACGCTGGGGCACAGCAGCCACGATGCCTCTGTCACTACTGGGTGCAGTGCCAACACAGGGATCCTTGTGAGAGCCCTGCACCACACCCAGACCCCTGTACAGGGCACTGGGACATGCCCCAGCCACAGCAGCCAGCATGGAATGTCACTTGCCTTACTGAAGAAGGACGAGTCCAGGGTATCAGCAGCATCCACCATGTCCTCATCCATGAAGCTGGGGTACAGGAAGCTCCTCTTGCTCCTTTGCTTGGGAGCCAGTGGCTCCAGGACAGAGCGCCCCTTTGGCAGCACAAGCAAATGAAGGTAAGCAGCCAGAAGCCCTCAGTTTTTGAAGCACTGAGGGTTTCTCAGATCTTCCCTCTCCAAAGCCAAGTGGCAAGGATTAAATCCCAATCAGCCACCACAGCCCCTTGTGTGGGGAGGAACTGGCAGAAGATGCTGCCTCAGAATCTGCACTGGACCAGGGCCACGTTAGTCAGCATGACAAGTGACCTCTGAATTCATCTGATCTCATACCCACAAACCTACGCCAAGGCTTGCCCAGGGCTCCTCAGAAGTAAGAAAACTGCTGGAGAGATTTCCTTGCCTCTCAGCAATAGAACCCAGAAGCTTTTTTTTCCTCAGATTGTCCAATTTTCACCAGAACTCCTACTTTTAAGCAGGTCTCAGGTTAAAAAACCAATCTCCCCCTTCAAACCCACCCTGTAGGGACAGCAGTCTCCATGCAAAGCAAACAGCCAAGAAACAAAGATGACGGGTGAAGAACAGAACTGAAACCCGGCTTAGGCAGATGATCCCCGTCACACTCCCAAACTCACACGGAGAAGGGCTGCAGCTGCCTTGAAGCTCATGTGGGCGACAGACTCCCTCTTCCTGCGGGGCAGGCGGCCGTGGCCCGAGCGGATGCTGTTGAAGGACGCCAAGGAGACAACGCCGGGGGTGAGCGGGGGCAGGACGTGGTGGGGCGTGTGGGGACGGTCGGTGTCGTCGGGGTGGCGGAAGGGACGGCCCCTGGCCAGCGGGTCCACGATCTGGGGGAGGGAAGGGGTGTCAGTGCTGGGACAGCAAGGCTGGCAGCAGGACCCCTCCTCACCCCGAGCTCTACCTTGGGCATCTTGGCAGGCTTGGGCGACTCGGTGGCTTGGAAGGAGGGCACCTCCTGGCTGGGCAGCTCCATGTCGCGATAGGCAGCCTTCAGCTTGCCGTACCTCATGCTGCAGTGCTGCAGGCTCTTGCGCTGCCACTGCTGCCGCTTGCCCTCCCAGTCGCTGCTGACGCCGAACCACTGCGCTGTGCCCCTGCACACATGGCGGGCACAGCTGTCACACAGCTGGACCCCCGCACCAGGTACCACCATTCCACCCAGGCATCCCCTCTGACAGGCGGCTGGGGCTGGGATGTCTCAGCCCAGCCTGCAGCAGGGCAGTTTTGACCCGGCTGTGGGTCAGAGGGGAGCGGAGGAAAGTGATTCTTGCACTCCCTTCTGAGACACACCTCTCCAACCACACCCCAAGCCCTCTGCCAGCACCCACAATGTCCCCTGAGTGACCCAGGCACGGCTGGTGCCTCCCTGCCCTCACTTGCGGATGCTCTGGGACAGGGATGTCTGCCGGCGGAAGCCGGGCCGGCGCTCCGGGCGGGGCTCCTGCAGGCTCTTGCTCTTGCGGTAGACGGGCACCTTGGAGGGCTGCAAGGCAGAGCAGGGCATTAGGGACAGGATGGCACCTGGCAGCCCCCCGAACCCAGTGGGGCGGACACAGCTCCAGTACTCACCTCCTTGTGGGCACCGTCCTCCTCTGCCTCCCGGGGAGGGATGACAATGGAGAGGTTGGGGGGCTTCTTGCTCTGCAGGCGGCTGCTGCTGGAGCGGCTGCCCCCGTTCTTGTCCCCCGCTGACATCTTGGGCCGGTGGTGGTCGGCAGGCTGGCAGAGTGCAGGGAGTCAGACACAGGGGGAGAAGTATTCCCACAGGAGCTGGTGTGTGAGGAAAGGCTGGGTCCCAGGAGGAGATGGGGTCTCACCAGTGGGATGTCACCAGATTGAGCCTCCTGTGTCCCTGGCTGTGATGGCGACACCTTGCCATCATGAACCCACCTGCTGCATCCCTAAAATCCACATTGCATCCCTGAATTTGGGTGGGTGGGAAGGCTCATATTAACCACTCACTCCTAGTCCCCCAATGGTCACCAACACCACCCCTTCACCTGCTGAAAGTAAGGCAGGGATGGCAACAGTGACCAGTCAGAGCATCCCCATCATCCCAGCACATGCCTGTGGGACACTCAGGTTTCACATCCCGCCAGGACGAGCCTCACTATGTGCCTTGGAAATCTGGGAGATCCCAGCAAGCCCTGGCCAGGGCCATGGCACACAGCTGCAGCACATGGGAACACCAACCCTCCCAGTTTGGCAAGGGAGCCAAGGGGAGATTGCAGGGGATGTCTGCAAGGAGCTCCTCTTGCCTGTGCAGGGTGGGAAGGGAGGGGATGCACAAGGCCTGAAAACACCTGATGCACATCCCCACATGCACCACAGCTCCCACATGGACCTGCCACGTGTTAGGATGCCCCATGAAGGGGAGATGCAGGATACTCCCCTCTGGCACGTTCATGCACACACCAGGCTGGGAGACTGTGCACGTGCAAGCAGAGGGAGGCTTAACAGCCAAGATGTGGTTAATTCCTCAAGAAATCCCCTCCCAAGGGTCCCTGCAGCCAGCTCTATCAGGCAGGGCTTTGCAGGAAAAGTAATTCCATCTGAGTGCAGGAGAACAAGTCCCAGATCCTACTAGGGACTACGAGGGCAACCAAAGGGGAGGCACAGCCCTCTCTGACCTCTTCCCTTGACCATGTGCCAGTGCCCAGGGGACTCACACAGGTCTCACAAGCATCTCTCGTCCTCCAGAACAGCCACAGCCATGGGAATGGTGTCACCTGCCACGTTTGCACAGTGCCACTGGGTGCAAAATGCCAGCTTGATGCACAGGCCTGTTCCTCTCCCTGCCCAAGATCCCAATGACCAGACTCCTAGAGTTCTGCACTCCTTAGGAAACATCACTTCAGCAACCAGATGAGTGACTGAGATCCCACCAGCCCCCTCTGCAAGAGGATCCCCTGGGCAGCCCATTCCCAAAGCAAGAGTCAGGCACAGAGACACTTTTGCAGCTCCCTTAGCACTTAGAGCCCTGAACACAACCCTCCCCTTAGACCACACCACAAGCAAAGCCTGGCTTAAGGAACATGGGGTGCCCAAAGGATGAGCTTCATGGGGATGCAGGAGTCCAGAACCAGCTCCCCAGGGATGAGAAAGTCTGGAGTTGGCAGCACTAGCTGGAATTGCTCCCCTCCATCAGCTCCTGGGCCCTGTGACAGCCTTCTGCTCCTGCATTAAAACAGGAGCTGGGCTCCAGCACCAAAGCTGAGAGCAATCAACTCCCAAATTTCCCCTGTAGGCTGAGGCAGTGCTGGTCCCCACGAGGGTCTCCTCACCTCATAAGAATGACAGGGATCCTGTGCAGTGATGGTAAACACCCAGGGCAGCCTTCCTCTGCCTCCGTCCTTCACGCACGGGAGCCCCGGGACACGGCCCAATTCCTCCTGCAGGGAGAGGCTGTGATGAAAAACCGTGCATGGGAAAGCAGGCAAGGGCTGCAGGAGCATCCTGGCAGAGGGAGAGCTGAGTTCAGTGCTCCCTAGACCTTGGGGACAGGGCTGCAGGTGCCTGGACATCAGGACAGGGATCAGCTGCTGGCACAGGGCAGCAGGAGGAGGAAAAGCCCCATTTATAGCAGTGCTCCATGGCAGGGAATAGCATGGGACAGGCAGAGAGTTTTCCTCTGCTGCTGCCAGGCAAAGCTCTTGGGAAGCAAGACACCCAGGAAGAGCAGCATGGAACATGAGTGCCTCACTGGGTATTTCATAGCTGCTACACTGGGAGAGTGCCAGGCTCAGCAAGTAAAACTTTCCATCCCACTGGTGAGCTGGAGACTCTGTTTGTTTTCCTCCCAGGGCAGCCAGCAATGAGCTCGAGGTGGCAGCTGCTCTGGAGAGCTGGGAATGGGAACACACTGGGGTCAGAGCTATCCCTGGGCCACCCTCATCCTTCTCCAGCTCTGGGGAATTGCTCTGAGTGGTGAGAACCAGCACGGCCTGCAGCACAGAAATTGCAGCCAAACTCTTACACAGCCCCACTCTTACAGCCCCACCCCAAAACCCCATCCCCAACTGCTCCCATCACACCCTGGACAGCCCCAGATCTCTGTGCTTCCCAGCAAAAACAGGTTTGCAGCATGTTTAAAATCCTGGTCTCCCTTCCCACCAGCTCCCCATGCAGGGGGGGCTGCACTGGCCTCCCCTGAGGTGACTCAGTCCTGGGGGAGCTGGCACAGCCCGGCGGGCACCTGCTGTCCAGTCACGGTCACACGGCCCGAGCGCTTGTCACGGCTCTGTGCATCGGCACTTTTGGCACGGAGCACGAGGGGGAGGAGGGCAGCGGCCCCAGAGGGTTCAAGGTTCCCGTGCTACACAGGCTGGAGGCAGCAGCCACCCCCTGAGCACAGATCCTGAGCCACCAGGAGCCTTATCCTGTGCCAGGCAGAGAAATCCCCAGTGGACGGTGCTGGGAAGGTGTTTTCCAGCTCACCACGTGCCTGGTGCTGGCATCCAAGCCCTCTGGAGCTGGGAATGGGCCAGACAGCACCTCCACCCAGAGACAGCCTGCCACAAGCTTGGCCCTCTAGATCCCCTGCAATCCCAGGTCCTGTCACATCCCCAGCCCTGGCATGGAGAGCTCTGCCACCAGGAGCACGGCTCCCTGCCTGGCAGCCCTGGCATCAGACACCCCATCACAGGGCACAGCTCGGCTGTGGGTCCCCAGGGAGCCTCAGCCCAGCCCTTGGACATTCAGGGTGGATGTGGTGGCTTTGTCCTGGGGACAGAAAAAGGAAGTGAGAGGAGACATGCAGAGCTGGCATGGGGGCATGGCTGAGCACATGCCCTGCTGTGGGAACAAGGCAGGTCACAGCAGCAGGGGGGGACAGGCATGGGACTTGGCAGCCACAAGCATGTCCTGAGCTTGGTAGGAGCTGGAAGAAGGGTCCTGGGGGCAGCACGTTGTCACTTCAGTCTGGAAAAGATCTCCATGCACTGGGGCTGCTGCAATTGTTGACCCACAGGGAGAGACAAATGGGCAGGGTGTGGAGGGAGGACCCCCTGGTCTGGTTGGTAAGAAGAGATCTCCCATCTCCCCTCCCAAAGCTCTTGACCACTGAAGGTCACCAAAGCCTGACATCCAGCAGTGAGGGACAGTGCTCCAACAGCAGCAGGGGGGTGCAGGCCCCACCCTTTCCCAAGAGGGCAGAGGTTTGGGGTCACTGGGGAGCAGCTGGGATGAGGTTTGAGCCTTCAACCAAAAAAGGCACAAGGAAGGTGAGGAGGGCTGGCTCCCAGCCCCAGGGCAAATCACAACACGCACTGATCAGAGGAAGTACACCCAAGGAAGAAAGTGATGGAAAAAATGATGTAGTTCACACAAAGGGTCACCGCAGGACACGATGGGATGGTCCAAGCAACACAAAGGGACCATCAGCAAGGCCAGGAGAGCAGAACTGGGACAGCCAAGCACAGCCATAGCACCAGACAGCAGAGAGACAACCCTGCAGAGCAGCCCTGGCTGGAGGGGAGTGCATGCAGTGCATTCATGGATGCTTGGAGAAGGATCAGGACCTCTCTCCCCGAGCTTGTTGTCACTGTGGGAAGGGACATTACTGGAATAACTGTGCCTCTGGCTGATGCAGTTCAGCTGGAGCAGACAGGAGCTCTGAGCCACCCAAGGGTATGGGGCAGGGAGTGGGACCCTCATGAACACCCATCATACCCATCCCCCTGAGCACGATGAGCCCAGCCCTTCCTCTCCCCTCCACAGGGCAGTGAGAAAGGGGCCAGCAACGCCACAGAGCCCCCAAACACCCCCGCAGCTGCTGGCACCCAAGAGCCCATCAGGCAGAGCTGCTGCTGCCCATAAATGATTCACAAGCACGTTAAAGACCTCTCTCAAGGCTGGAGCCGTGTTAAAAGATGCTCCCAGTTATTAAGAGCTCCAGATAGGAAACTCAATTTGTGCAAATGCTCTGAACATCGAGCTCCTGTGGACTCACACCCCAGCAGAGACCCAGCACCTTCTCTGCTTCTGCTCCCTTTCAAAAAGCTTTTTACCATTTTGCAGTCTCGAGTTTCAGGCCTGGAGAAAAGGAGCCAAAGTACAAACAGCTCTTGAAATAAAAACGTATAATTGGAGAGAAAAAAGAAAAACACTCCCATTTTTTTCCCCACATGTCCCAACCCTGTCACAACAGAACTGGATGGTAAAACTGTGAGATGCAGGGTTTCAGTCTGAGTGTTGAGAGAGGCCCTCTGTGCCTCAGAGGGCACGGTCATCAGCCCTCTCCCTTATCACAGAGCCACATGGTCAGCACGGACACCCAGAGGGGCTTAAATCCACATTTCCCTGATGGCTGGGGCAGGAATATGGGCTATGGATGAGTGCTGAGATCTTGTCTGATCCCCAGGGTGTGCAGGCAGCCAGCACACACCTCACCCACGCCACCATTAAGAACACCCTCTCCCATTTTCCTCTGTCGGGAAGGACATTGGGCAATGGCAGCTGAGCTGGGCGAGCTGGGAACACGCCCCAGGAGGAAGGAAAGTGGCTGGGGAGAGAGAGCATGGCGGGCGGGGGAGCTGTGCTGGGCTGATAAGGCGAGCCCTGCCCGCGGGGAGGGACACGGGGACACTCACACCACTGCACACCACTGCAGCTGGGCTGGGCTTCCCTGCTGCAAGGGCTGCAGGGCCAGCAAAGTGGCCTGGGCTCCCCGGCAGTCCTGGGTGACACCATCCCTATGGGCATGGAGAGGGAAGGATTTGCCTGCAGTGCCTGGAGCGGGTGGAAAAAGCCATGTGGAGGATTTCCCACATCACAGCCACATTGCCCCTCTCGTTAGTTCTTACCAGCTCAACAACCCCCACCCACCCCAGCAGAGCAAGTGCTGACACCCAAAGGCTTCCCAGCCTGCTGGGATGGGGTCCCTCTGTGCCACTGGCCACCCAGCCCACACCTCCCCACTTCCCTGGGGTGCACACACCCTGAGAGCACAACAGCCCCAACCAGGCAGCACTGCACAAACCCAGCCTCTGCAAATCACACCGCTGGGGTGGGTGCTGCTGGGGGGGCTGCGGCTGCACAAGGGGACCCTCGGCTCAATGGCCCCTTGCTCAGGCTGAGCTCAAGCCAAGTGAGGAATGTGCATGTGGGGACTTTGAGTCACCCCAACGGCTTCGGTGAGAGCAAAGGGCCAAAGTCCCCACTGGGAGCGAGGGAAGAGCAGCAGCTCCACTGGTGAGTGTGCAGAGGGGGCTGCTCCACAGGCAGGGTCACAGCACACACAAGGAAAGCTCCTTTTCCTTTTCCCCCAGCCTACCAGGATTGATTTAACTTGGTTTTAACTAAGAACTGATTAATTACTTCAATCTACTTCAATTCCTTATTAGCTTGGCTTAAACACAGAGTGCACAGACATGATGATGTAAGTGTTTCAGCCCTGGCTGCACCTTCTGGAAGGGGCTGAGGGGTCCCAGGTCAGTATTTACCCAAGGGAAGGGGACAGTGTGCCTGCAGGCCATGTGTCTGCCATCCCCATGCTGCAGGTCATTACTGAGTTCACTCCCACTTCCCTCCTCGAAGCAAAATTCTTTGTATGAAAGGTTAATGGGGCTGGAGGGGACACCCCTCCCTCTGGTTCTTCCACTGAACACTCATTCTTCAAGCAGTTCTTAATGCCAGGGCTCTGGCTGGGCTTGCAGACTTGCCCAGTCTCCTGCTGCCTGTTTCAAAGCAGCACAGGGCTGGCAGAAATGCCCCATATTTACAGAGGGTTCCCTTGCCCTGAGCTCTGACCATCCCCACGCTGTGTGGGATGCAGCACTGGGAGGTGCTGCTCAGCCCTGTGCAGGAATTTGGCTCATCCCAGGGACAAGAGGAGCCCTGGGCTGGCAGCAGGATGAACCTCCTTGGCTGCAGCTCCCCGGCTGTGGGAACAGAGTCCTTATCTCAACACAGCCTTGTACAGAGTGCTGACAGCCCCCGTGCAAAGGGGGAGCCCTGAGTGGACACCTGCAGCCTCCTTCTTTCCCATTCCAGGGCCAGCAGCTCCCAGAGGAGAGGGGAGAAAGACCTTGTGGTGTCCCTTGGGGCTGTGGATGGTGACACCTCTGCTGGAGGCTGTCCCCCAGACACCCCATTAAGACTCAGTGCTCCTCCCCCCTCTCAGCCAGCAGTAGCCAAGCGTGGGTGGGCCACTCCTCAGCTTCCTTCCTTTCACTCCTGATTGCAGGAGGCCTGAAGCACCCAGACCTGCAGCCTGCCAGACTGAGAACAGCTCATCCCCATCCAACACCGTGCAAGCCCAGCACAGGGAATCCTACACTCACTATGGAATGTGATGCTTTTCCCACCACAGCATCTTATGGACCTGTGCCAGCCAGGCACTTTGCAGCCTCTCAGCTGCCAAGAGCTGGAAATGGGGTCTCCTCAACCATCTTCATCCTCCTCCTGCCTGC